GTTTACGGTCTAGGGTTTAAGGTTTGGGGTTAGGGTTTAGGGTTTAGGGTTTATAGGGTTTATAGGGTTTAGGGGTTTAGGGTTTAGGGGTTTAGGGTTTAGGGGTTTAGGGTTTAAGCTTGTTAGTAGGGCATAAGGGAACATTGTATATAAGGACTATATGGGGATTTTGTCAATTGGCAATGAAGAATATATGATACATGGTTTATACAGGGATTTTGAGTAGTAGGGAATAAAGGAATGTGACGGAATAACTAAATAGTGAACATATCTCATATTCCCTACTAATTGCCATTAAGCTATGCCCTCGAAGGCGGAGATTTGAGTCTAAGGACAACAGTGGTACAGTTACCTGGAAGTTCATGCTGCTATAGTCCAACTTCAAAAGGCCACAAGTTCTCCATGAACCTTCAAGTAGTCTTTATTCCAACTTGAAATTGCAGCCTGTGATCGTTCTCTTGACCTTTCCCCAGCATATGTCCCGCTGCATCTTCAGGAAAAGCTACTATCGGAATGAGAGCTTAGAACCCTTGACTGTCCCAGGTATTAAGCTTTCTGCAATAAGTACATGATCCATGGGCTATGTAGGGAAATATTGCAGCTTGTCCCATCCTTGTCCATCATCTTATCTGCTTCAGGAGAAGAACAAATCCTGCAAACTGTCCTGGAATCCAACCCAAAAGCTAGTACGCCTGGCGTTCGGCGTGTCTTCTTATTATAGACCGTTGACCGTATACCCCATTCACTTGCACGTGAGGGGGATGCGAAACCTTAAACCTTAAACCCACCCTAAGCCCTAAACCCTAAAACCCTTAACCCTAAACTCTGAAGCCCTAAAACCCTAAGTTCTAAACTCTGAAGCCCTCAAACCCTAAACTCTAAAGCCCTAAACCCTAAAACCCTAAACCCTGAAACCCTAAACCCCTAAAATCCTAAAACCCTGAACCTTGAAATCCTGACTCTGAAGTATGCCTTCAGCCTAGGCCTCGGCTATTACTTAGCTCTGGTTAGCAAGGAATGAAGGAAGGAGTCCACATAGTATCCCCTATATCATGGGTTATATAGGGTTTAGGGTAAGAAGGGACTATACAGCAGTAATGGAAAAAAGAAATGGACACTACTATAGCATCTCCCTGCTTAGCCGTCACCTCTGCAAGCGCCACCAGCGTTTCGCTCACGAAGTCCTGCTGATTTTGTTAAATTTGAGCAACTGGCTCTGCACTTCTCAACATAGGCTACGCGATTCCTTCGTAGAGGTAGGTACCTTCAAAACATCAGGTCCAAATTGCTTGAAATTTCGAGAAGGGCAATTTCAGCATACGAATTCGGAG